TATACAAATGTACCAGCGAATTATACAAATGAGACAGCTTGAACTGTAGCTACCACTCGTAAATATGCAAATTATAGTTATGGAACATAATTAAGTTTATTACAGTAGCTATTTGCGAAAGTTCCTCGAATAAAATTTCTCAAGATCTTTCAAGTAGAGGTAAATGGGCTATTTAACTCTAGAATCTTGGGCCATATGTTTGTACTTAGATCAAGCTTAATGGGCTTCTTTCGACTCAAATGTAATAAGGAAAATTTTCAAAATATCAATATTTTAGCATTTAATAGGATCCCTTAGCTACATTTTCAATATTTATTAAAAGTATCAATATTTTAGTTTGTTATATATCTGATTTATGTATTTGTCAATTTGTTTAATTTGAAATAATACAATTATTTAATAACATAAGGGAGAAAATCAAGGGAGAGAATATTTAAAAAAAAAAAGGTAAATATCAGTGTGCCTTTTTCACAATGTATTTTTGTTTTCCAGAATTTTGTAACCTTTTAAAATCGTATTCATTCCAATATGTATATTATTTGTATTTATTATAGCTTTCATGTTGTACTTTGTATTATGAAACTTGTATTTTTTTTAAAATTAATTTGTATTCATTCCAGTAGTTATGCCAAATGAATCTATAGTTCTTTGAGAAACGTATTTGTATTCATGTATTTTTTCACTGTGTATTTATTTTTTTTCTTCAAAATTTTGTATTCTTTCTTAAGTCGTATTCATTCCAATATGTATTTTATTTGTGTCTGTATTCATTCTAGTTTTTATGTAGTATTTTGTATAATAATATATAAAATATAAAAAAAAAGTATGATGAAAAAGTGAGAATGAAATATAAAACTGAAAAGGAATAAGTGAATATTTGTTGCAATCATTCTTAAATAAAATACATATCTAGTTGACATACATTTGGGATGAATTTAATTTAGGAACAAATACAAGATTCATAAACTATGCAACATAAGATTTTGAATGAATACAAATATTAATAGAATACATACATATTTGAATATTAATTGAGAAAGGATACAAAATTATAAAAAAAAAACTATAAATACAAAACAAACTAATAGGAAATTGTTCTTCCTCAACTTGGTCTTCAACAAGTTTTTCGAAATCTTCAACACCCAATTTTGGAAATCAAAAGATACTTGGTGACATGTATTTACCTTATTCGTGGGTTGAAAATATTTTGAAAGAATTGTGAGATTTCTTGAACAAATTGGAGGAAAGTAAAAGAGGTGATTTTCACAAGAAAATGAGAGAACAATGGTGAAAAACTCAAGAGAGAGAAAGGAAGAATTTGGGGTAAAAACCTAAAAAGAGGGGAAAGTGGGTAATGAGAGTTTTTTTTTCTTTCTTTTTCACGTATAGGGGAGTAAAATTAGTAGAATGTGGACCTAATTTGAGAAATAAAAGGAAAGAAAATCAATTATATTAGGATACATTTTATTTGCTAAAATATTGACATATTGACATTTTCAATAATTATTTTTAAAGTATAGATATTTTTAGTAATTATGTTAGGAAGTTTAACTAGTTTACTAATTTTCCCAATCTAATATACCAAATTTTTGACTACCAAATATTCACAATTCTATCATATCGCTATAAAATTCATAAAATTACCTTGTCACAAATCATGACTATCAACAAAAATGACCACTAAATCTTGACGACTTATTACAAATATTGAATTTTGAATTTTGAATTTTATTTTCTTCAAAAAGATTTTTTACTTATTAAAGAATCACGTCCACGCGAGTTTTGATTATTAATACAAATAAAAGTAAGTTTGTCAATCTCAACGTCAAAGATTAAATTTAATTATGATAATATAGTAATTTATCGTTGATTTGAACATCATAATTATTGACAAAGAAGCAGGGCTGGCTCTTGCCTATAAAATTTTAGGCATTGGCCTTTTGGGGGCCTCAAATTTTTATAAATAAAAAATTATGTATCTTAACCCCATTCAAATAGAAGAAATTAAGGAAACATTGTTTTGGATTCTTACATTTTTTTCGTTAACACTCACATTATTTATCCTTTGTAACTCTTTTTGCACTCTATTTCTTCAAATCTTTGATAGTTAGAGTAATACACTCTCATAAATATGAATCAATAGTCGAAAAGTGTTGAACAAAGTGCATTACAAATTCTTTTTTTAAAAATTTATTTCTTAATTTTCATATTAAAGTAGTATACCAAGTTATCAACTTTTTGAATCAAATTCTATGATTCTAACTTTTATCTTTAAAGTTTATCAACTTATTACTTATAAAATTGTGTTAATAATTCATATAATAATTGTCTCAATAAAAGAATATTTTTCAATGTTGAATTGATAAAATCTTACTTAAAACTAATAATTAAAAAAAAGTGTTTGAAAAATCATTTATATAAAAGATATTAAGTAGTAATTTACATCTAGAAATTTAGAAAAATAAATAGATATAGATAAAATTTATATAGATTTTAGGCCTCTAATAAAAATTTCGCTTTAGGCCACAAATTATGTTGAGCCGCCCTGCAAAAAAGATAGCAACTTACTTCCGTGTGTTTCTTTTGTTCTTTCATTTGACTATATAATACTTGGAATAAATTATGATAATTTTAACTTTAATTGACTGGCCTAAAACAATCACTTTCATTAGCAACTCAATAAAGTCATCTTTTTTACGACTTCCAATGTTGAGTACTCTTCTATTTATAACACATGTCACGTATTTAAGTCATCTATAAAAGATTATATCCTCTGTTCAATAAAAATTGTATTTTAAAATAATATCTTAATAAAATAATGGAACGTCAATCTCATCTGAATTAAAGTTCCAAAGGCTTATTACATCCACTCAAATAGAGAAAAAGAAAAAAGTTACACATACTTAAATTGAAAGTTTTTCTAGTTGAAAAATGAATTAAATGCGTGAAAAAAGGTGAGAAAAAAAAAAACTTGAATATGTACATATATTTGTCTAAGTTCTCTAACAGTAATCACCTATACATATTGTTTGTCTAAGTTCAACATTCTATATGACATTTACTTTACGTTGTTAATGTGTTTGAGTCGCCTCTAGATCAACCGACCTATGTATACAGTTTTGTGCTTCTTCAATGACATGTGTGTCATTATAGACTTTTGGTACGTATCATTTAATTTGATGTTACTAGATATATTTGTTCTTCATTTTTGAGTGTATATGATAAACACTTTAAATTTATGTAAAATTGAACATATAAACACGCCAATTCTTTACGTAACAATTCACGTGAGATATACTCAAACTGTTATTTAACGATTGCACCGTCTTTGTTATGTGTCTTGTGGTGATTCATAACAGTTGGCACTACATTCAAGGCCTTTGTTACTTCATGGGATTGTTTTGTCTTTGTTGACCGAGACATAATGGATTACACTTATCACTTAGGAATATATTTAATTAAGGGAAAAAGGACAAATATAGATATTCGAATTATCATAAATGATATGCAGATACTCTTCGTCATACTTTTGGTGCCCCTGTCGTTAAAAAATTAGAGCATATATATCATTTATACTAATGGACATACACGTGTCATAATCTTATTCATCGATCCGATATTTACTATATATCAAATCGACAGATAAGATTGCGCCACATGTTCCTATTTAGTCTATAGAGGATATATATGCTCTAGTTTTTTAACAACAGGGGCACCAAAAGTATGATGAAGGGTATCTGCATATCATTTACGATAGTTCGGATATCTATATTTGTCCTTTTCCCCTTTAATTAATGTGTTGTTATATGTGACAATTGGAGAATCAATTGCTCCCCTCCTCAAAGTGGTCATTTTTGTCAATAATAATAATAATCATTCATGAGTTTTAAGTTAAGATTCAGCTACTAATAAAACCCAAACATAAGGATAAACCACTATTATTACAATCATGTATAGTTAATTAAGTTGTCTCCTAACTAAACAAGTCAAGATTAAAGTTGTATTTATTGATAATAACCACTTTCTTCTTATAAAAAAATTGATATCCAGGTTCATTTGTGTTATAAAAGTATTTATATATAGTTCTGCTAATAATTTTCTTTATCATGGCTTAAACATATTTGTAGAAATTATTATTTTTTCGGTCCAAACTTATGTAGTACTTGTTCTCTTTTAGATAAAAATCATTTTTTTCTTCCTTCTAATTTACGCGTCACTTTTCTTTCAGTCAGTCTTATAAAGACGACACTTTTATATATATATATATAATTTAATAATAATATAATTTTAAAATGTTATTATTTATTATATATTTGCAAGCTAATAATTTATCTTTGTCAAATAAATCATCGCACGTGAATTCTATCCAAAAGACTAAAAAGTCCACCATCCACTCAAGTCAAATTAACACACTCAAAATTGAATAGTTTTTCTACTTGAAAATGACTAATCTTTTCTTGTTCAACTTTTTTTTTTTCTTTTTCATAATATATGAACATAACATTTTAATTTAACTTTAGAGTAAGTACATATATACACTTAAACTATTAAAAAATTAAATAAATAGACGCACACATCTTACTTAATAAAATGCATGAGATATATGTGTTCTACATTTCAAATTGCATGAAATTTATTCTGTTCAATTTTGTGATAGGTTAAATGTCTACTTATGCATAATACTAGATGAGACCAAGTTGAGCATATATATGTATTATGCCTATTTTTAAAAAATATTATTTTTATATTTAATAACTTTTTAATCCATCCTTAAATAATTTTCTTAAATGGGGTATCGTAACCTAGTATCATTTAGGCTTGGAGAAAATAAAGAAAGATTATCATTTAATTACTTAAAATTTCCAATCCAAAACATCTTATACTACATTTAATTAGCCTAAAGGTATCTATACTTATTTTAGTCTAGATTCAAGATTTTATTATATTATATTATATTGTTCTATACCCTCAACCAACATCTTCATAATAATAATAAAAAAAACAAGAAATTCATCAAAAGCCATGGAAAATTTTGGTCTACACATGCTTGTTGGCAGATGGTTTATGTTTTTTGCTTCAATTTTAATCTTGTCTGTTGCTGGTGGCACATATATATTTGGTCTCTACTCAGAAGAAGTAAAAATTTCACTAGGTTATGATCAAACAACCTTAAACTTACTTGGTTTTTTCAAAGATTTAGGTGCAAATGTTGGGATTATTTCTGGTTTAATCAATGAAGTTACTCCACCATGGGTTGTTATTCTTCTTGGTGCATTTATGAATTTTTTTGGGTATTTTTCTATTTGGCTTGCTGTTACTAAGAAATTTAGTAACCCCAAAGTTTGGGAGATGTGTTTTTGTATTTTCATTGGGGCAAATTCACAAACATTTGTTAACACTGGTGTTATTGTGACTTGTGTTAAGAATTTCCCAGAAAGTAGGGGTATTGTGATTGGGCTTTTAAAGGGTTTTGTTGGTTTAAGTGGTGCTATACTTACACAATTGTATCATGCCTTTTATGGGAATGATGGCAAATCTTTAATCTTGCTTATTGCTTGGCTTCCTACTGTTGTTTCTTGTGTTTTACTGAGAGTTATTCGGACTATGAAGGTTAACAAGCAAGAAAATGAGATTAGGATTTTTTATCAGCTTTTGTTTATGTCATTTGGTTTAGCTGGTTTTCTTATGGCTATAATTGTAGTGGAAAACAGAGTTGAGTTTGGCGCTATTGGTTATTGGTTAACTGCTGGTACTATTCTTGTTTTGTTATGTGCTCCTATAGTTCTTGTTGTTAGAGAGGAGTTGAACTTATGGGACGTTAAGAAGCGAAGTTTGAGTCATACTGTAGAGATTAAGGTTGATGAAATTGAGAGACCACTTCAGTGTTCAGCATCTGTTGTTCCGATTAACGATCAGAAAGAACATGTTTCGTTCTTTCAAGATGTGTTTAAGCCACCAGAGAGGGGTGAAGACTATACTATACTGCAAGCGGTTCTTAGTGTTGATATGTTGATTCTGTTTATTGCTACGATTTTTGGAGCAGGGGGGCTTTTGACAGCTATGGATAATTTAGGCCAGATTGGTAAAGCTTTAGGTTATCCTAAAACAAGTATTACTACATTTGTGTCACTTGTGAGTATATGGGGTTATCTTGGGCGTGTAGGTTCTGGATTCGCGTCTGAGATCTTCTTGGAGAAGTATAAGTTTCCGCGTCCCTTGATGTTGACAATAGTGCTGTTTTTTTCCTGCCTGGTTCATGTTTTGATTGCGCTTGGCGTGCCTAACACTCTGTATGTCGCGTCTGTGCTGATTGGGTTGTGTTTTGGTGCTTTATGGCCTTTGATATTCGCGATCATATCTGAAATCTTTGGGCTTAAGCATTACTCCACATTGCTCAACTTTGGGGGTGCTGCTAGCCCTATCGGAGCTTACATATTCAACGTTAAAGTAGCTGGTAATTTGTATGACAGAGAAGCAATGAAGCAAATGGCAGCTCATGGGATCATTAGGAAGTGCGGTGAAGACTTGACTTGCACTGGAGTTGAGTGTTATAAGTTGGCTTTCTTGATAATTGCAGCATCTACTTTTGTAGGGTTCATTGTTTCATTGGTTTTAGTAATCAGAACATTCAAGTTTTACAAAGGGGATATTTACAAGAAGTTCAGAGAACAAACGAAAGCCGTCGATGCTGCTGAGTCTTAGTCCAGAACAAATGGTGATGCTCCATTATAGTGTGTTATTCATTCTGATATGTGATTATAGTTTTGACATTTTGTGCTTATGGCTGATATCAGTATGCACAAGGAGTTGAAAGTGTATACAAGATTTACAAGTTGAATTTTATCTATGTAATGGAAGATTTGTTTTAACTGAAGTTGTGTAGAAACAAACTTGATTCAGAAACAACCTCTCTACCTCCACGAGGCAGTGGTAAGGTCGAAGTACATTCTACCCTCCTCAGACCTCACTTGCGGGATTTCACTGATATGTAATTGTTGTTGTTGTGTAGAAACAAAGTTTATAGAAATTCAACTACTAAGATTTGCTAACTTCAGAAAACTTCAGTGAGTAGAACTAGGTGCCACAAAACCAGGCAGCAGTACTGCCAGTACCACTGGACCTAGCTCCCAGTAAGTCTGGCGTTATGCCAAATTTGCTTGACTCTCCCTTCGTCTCAATTTGATTGTCTGGTTTTGACTTGATGCGAAATTTAAGAAAGTATGAAGATTTATGAATCTTGTTGTCTTAAACGTGTCATGTAGAAAGTTAGAACTAAAGAGTTGTTGAAACAAAAAACATTCGTTTTTGAAAGTAAGGCAAACAAATTGTAACGGAGGGAGTAAGTGATATCGACCCATGATAAGAACCTATAGGTTTCAGTCTTTTACCACTTTTTAAATTTTGGATTCATCCTTATCTGAGAATGGAAGAAATCTTAATAAACAACGCTACCCTATTTAACGAGCACAACAATATACAAATTTGAATTAATCGAACCCACGAAAAACATACAGCCGAAACAAGGCCTATGTGTAAACCATAATCTGTCAGAATCATGCTGCAATCGCAGCTGCAAAAGGAAAACTAATGAGACTTCATCAAAATAGTTGGTTGTTAAGTAGTTAAGAGGTGGTTAGGATGATTAAGGGTAGTATAGTCTTTTCTCTTAAAGTTGTTATAACTAATCTTTTCAATAGTTAGTTACATAAACAACTATAAATACATGTTCATGTAATTGTACAAGTTAGCCTTTTGAGCTCATAAATGGATTTCTTCTTTCTTCTCTTCTAGCAGCTTCTAGTAGCTTCTGTAAATCGTGTCTACGTTCATGGTATCAGAGCTATACACAATGACGAGCTGTGATAGGCGTTTAGGTTGAAGAATCAGAGAGTTGCTTTGTCGATTCACAGATTCGAATCAGAGAATTGCTTTATCAATTCACAGATTTATCAGATTCTCGGTTGATCTGCAGATTGGAGTTCAAGTCTGTTATTAACTGAGTTTGATTCTTATTCCGCAACAATTTTTGATTACTATGTCTCCAGATCGAGTAGCTGAAGAACTAAATCAAGGTATCAACAATGGAGAAATTGCTGGTTCTGGTTCTTTCGTTTTGCCCTCTAATACAGTCTCATCATCTCAAGGTATTGATTACAATCATCCTCTGTTTCTTAGTCCTACTGATGTGAGTGGTGTTAGCCTTATCTCTTTTCAATTACTTGGCATTGAGAATTATACATTGTGGAATCGATCTATTACACTAGCTCTATTGGGAAGAAATAAAATAGGATTAGTGGATGGATCCTGTAGAAATGAAGTTTATGGTGAAGAACTGTGGGGGCAATGGGAGAGGGTAAATGCAATTGTGTTGTCTTGGTTAATGAACTCAGTCTCTAAGAGTCTTCTTAGTGGTGTTGCTTTTGCTTCGAGTGCTTTGCAAGTCTGGAATGACTTGAAAGAGAGATTTGATAGAGTAGATGGCTCTAGAACCTATAGTCTTCACAAAGACATTGTAACAATGCAACAAGGTACTAATTCAGTTTCTGAGTATTATACAAGACTTAAAACCTTGTGGGATGAGTCTGAACTTTTAGTGCCTGCACCTTGTTGCAACTGTGATAAATCGAAAGGATTTGTGGCTCACATGAATAGGCAGAAGTTGTATCAGTTTTTGATGGGGTTAAATGAGTCCTTTCAACAAGCCAGAAGTCAGATTCTGATGCTAAATCCTCTACCTACTATTAATCATGCTTATGCTATGATAGTAGGAGATGAAAGCCAAAAAGCAGTGATGTCTCACAGCAATAGCATGGGAATGAACACAGTTAGTGCTGACTCTGTGGCTATGTATTCTAAATCTGCATCCACCTCAGGTGTATTTAGAGAGGACATGTTTCCCTTTGCATCTGATAAGCATTCTGGCAGATACCAGCTATTCACAGATATATTCTAAGACAGTTCAGCTGTCAATTTTCAAGAGTTGTCTGAGCCAGCTTATGTATCTTATAATCCTGAGCATGAAGGTCCTGAGCATGAAGGTCCTGAACCTGACCTTGCAAATCAGGAGTTTGAACAATTTGGAGATTCAGAACCTATCCAGCATATGCCTGAGAATTCAGCTGATAACTTGACTGCAGTTTGTGATCCTTTAGCAGAACCAAGATCAGGTAGTTCTTCTTCTGGTAATGACACCCTTATGAATTCTAGTCAAGAGGGTCAGCTGGTTGTTGTATCACCTGAGATCAGAAGGTCCACTAGAGCTAAGCAGTCTCCTGCTTGGCTGACTGATTTTGTTACACAAAAGGCAGTGAAGTATCCTCTGGGAAATTATGTGAGCTATAACCATCTCTCCTCCTCTTATCAGTGTTATATTGCTGCTTCTTCCTCACTGAAGGAACCTAGTACATATTCTGAAGCTGTGACAGATCAAAGGTGGATAGATGCTATGCAGTTGGAAATTCAGGCATTAGAAAGCAACAATACATGGGTGGTTACTGATCTTCCCCAAGGAAAGAAACCTATAGGTTGCAGATAGGTGTATAAGATTAAGTATAAAGCTACTGGTGAAATTGAGAGGTTCAAGGCAAGGTTGGTGGCTAAAGGCTACAGTCAACAAGAAGGAATAGATTACAAGGAGACTTTCTCCCCTGTGGTTAAGATGGTCACAGTGAGATCTATAGTCTCTCTTGCAGCATCTCGAAAATGGCATGTTCATCAGATGGATGTCTTTAATGCTTTTCTTCATGGTGATTTAAAGGATGAAATTTATATGCAGCTCCCTCAAGGTTTTGTCAGTCAAGGGGAGAAGGTTTGTAGACTGACTAAGTCCTTATATGGTCTCAAACAAGCACCAAGACAATGGAATCACAAGCTGACTGAAGCTCTTCTTGCTCTCAAATTCAGACAGAGTCAGTATGACTATTCTTTGTTCATTCGAGATTCAGAGGCTGGTATGGTCATTGTACTTGTGTATGTAGATGATATGTTGATTACTGGAAGCAGTCTGAAATTGATTGAAGAGACAAAGCAAGCCTTACAGAAGTGTTTCAAAATGAAGGACCTAGGTGAACTAAAGTATTTTCTGGGTATTGAGTTCGCTAGGACAGAACAAGGCATACTTATGCATCAAAGAAAGTATATCTTGGAGCTTATAGCTGAAGTAGGAATGTCAGCAGCAAAGCCTGCAGCAACTCCTATTGATGTTAATATCAAGTTAACATCAAAACAGTATGATGAGCAAATAAGGGACAAGAAGAATTCTGAAGATCAGCTGGTGGATCCAACATCATATCAAAAGCTAATTGGGAAATTGTTGTATCTTAATATGACAAGACCAGATATATCGTTTAGCACTCAGACTCTAAGTCAGTTCCTACAGCAGCCAAAGAAGTCACATATGGATGCAGCTTTAAGGGTGGTGAGATATATCAAGAAACAGCCTGGACAGGGTCTGCTATTAACTAGTTCTTCAAATGAATTGGTTACTGCATGTTGTGATGCAGACTGGGCTTCTTGTCCACTTACCAGGAGGTCTGTTACAGGCTACATGATCAAGATAGGCAACTTTTTAGTGTCATGGAAAGCAAAGAAGCAAACCACAGTTTCCAAAAGTTCAGCTGAAGCTGAGTACAGAAGTCTTGCATCAACTGTATCAGAATTAGTATGGTTACTTGGGATGTTAAAGGAAGTAGGAATTGAAGTGCAGTTGCCAATACAAGTATACAGTGACAGTAAAGCAGCAATACAAATAGCTGCAAATCCAGTCTATCATGAGAGGACAAAACATATAGAGATTGACTGTCACTTCATAAGGGAAAGGATACAACAAGGTTCAATCAAAGTGAATTATATCCCAACAAAAGAACAACCAGCAGATATTTTGACAAAGGGGCTGTCCAGAAGTCAACATGAGTATTTGTTATCCAAGCTAGGAGTGTTAAACATTTTTGCTCCTCCTAGCTTGAAGGGGAGTAATGAGACTTCATCAAAATAGTTGGTTGTTAAGTAGTTAAGAGGTGGTTAGGATGATTAAGGGTAGTATAGTCTTTTCTCTTAAAGTTGTTATAACTAATCTTTTCAATAGTTAGTTACATAAACAACTATAAATACATGTTCATGTAATTGTACAAGTTAGCCTTTTGAGCTCATAAATGGATTTCTTCTTTCTTCTCTTCTAGCAGCTTCTAGTAGCTTCTGTAAATCGTGTCTACGTTCAAAAACAGTTCCCTGTATTTTCCAGCTACGTGAATTTTGTCATCAACCAAAATAATAGAAATCATTATTATAAGTAGCAAAATTGAATTTTCTGTATTGATTGGGGCAACAATTAAGATAAGATACTACGTAGTAAGAAACATAACCCTAAGTACAAGATCCAAAAATGACTTTTACTAATATTCTTTTTTAAATTCGTCATTCATAATTTATCTCATCTTTCTTCAATAATTTGCTTACAAAAATGACATACATGGGCCATCCACCATGTCGATAACAGTACAAAACCTGACAAAATGCGACCCAATCAATTTGTACGCCCTTCGATTAATCGAATCAGTGAACTTTGAATATTACATCATGACTTAAAAAAAAACCTAGAGCCAATGACATGCCACTTTAACTTTTTTGATCTTTTTCAAATGATTAGCCAAGCAAAGCGCACAATAGAAAGCGGAAAAACTAATTGGTTGACTAGGTAAGAAATACAAATATGAACTACTCATCTATATTTTTTGGTACTGATGTTACTAATTCCTTTGAGACCATTGTTTCACTTTGCACTCTGAATTTCTTATATATATCACCTTTGTAAAATTCCCTTGTTCTAATTGCTAGAACTAGTGAAACAACACAACTTATTAATGTAGCACCAGTAATAACCAAAAAAGCCACTTTATAGCACTCCACACCAATACATGTCAAATCTTCACCAACACCTCTAGTAAATCCTTTAGCTTTCATTTGTCTCAGTGCCATTTTATCATACAATTGGCCTGCAACTTTAACATTAAGAATATATGCACCAATAGGGCTAGCTCCACTACTCAAATTGTACAAAGTTGAGTAGTATTTTAGCCCGAATAACTCCGATACAATGGCGAATATCAACGGCCATTGTGCTCCAAAACAGAACCCCATTATGATTGAAGCAATGTAGAGGGAATTAGGGACCCCAAACGCGATGAGAAGGTGACCGGTACATGACAGGAGGAGGACTAATGTGAGCATTAACGGACGAGGGAACTTGTATTTTGATAAAAAGATTTCGGATACAAACCCTGAGACAACACGTCCGAGGTAGTTCCATATGCTGAGTAAGGACACAAATGTTGTAATGCTTGTTGAAGGATAGCCTAACGCCTTCCCTATTTGGCCTAAGTTGTCGATGGCTGTCAGTGTACCGCCTACCCCAAAAGTAGTCGTTGTAAACAGAATCAAGAAATCTAAGCTGAAAATCGCTTGCAGTATTGTGTAGTCCTCACCCCTTGGTGGTGGCTTGAATACATTACTGAACCAAATATTTGGCTTTAAGTCACTAATTTCTTCCGGTTCTGGCTGAACAGAACACGGAGTTTCTGTAACAACGTTCACTTGTGGAGTATCATGTAAGACTTGCTGCTTACATTTCCACAAGGTAAACTCTTCTTTAAAGACGAGAATTAGCGGAGCAAAGAGCAAAATCAGTACTACAACAGCACTTCCTGCATATTCAAGCCTAGTGAAGCTTACCTTATTTTGGACAACAATTACAACCATGATAAAACCAGCTAGGCCAAGTGAAATAAACAGAAGTTTGTAGAAAATTCGAAGCTCGTTAGCCTGTTTATCCACCTTCATAACGCGAACAGTTCGTAGAAAAAAACATGAAACAACACAAGGAAGCCAACCAATTAACAAAACAAGAGACTTCACATCATTTCCATAGAAAGCATGATACAATTGTGTGATAATCGCGCCACTTAAACCAACAAATCCCTTCAACAATCCAAGTACAATTCCCCTGCTTTCGGGGAAATTCTTGACACAAGTGACTAACACACCAGTATTAGCAAATGTCTGAGAACTTGCACCAATACATATGTAAAAACACATTTGCCAAACAGGAGGTTTAGCTATACGTCCTATAACCGCAAGCCATACCATGAAGTAACCAAAAAAATTCATGATTGCTCCCATTAGTAGAACTACCCATGGTGGAGTGACTTCGTTGATAAAACCGGATATCATTCCAACATTACCACCTAAGTCTTTGAAGAAACTTAGTAAGTTTAAGGTTGTTTGATCATAACCTAATGAGGATTTGATTTCATTGCTATAAAGGCTGAATAAGTAAGTTGCACCAGCCATTGACATGATTAGAAGAGAAGCAAAAACCATGAACCATTTGCTCATGAGAAAATGGATGCTAAAGCCTAACATATTAGCTTTGTAGCCACCATTTTCAGTTAACTTTGCCATTGGAAACTTATAATATGAGTGGGAAAAAAGGGACTTGTGCTTACTACCATACTAACATTAGGTACTTATATACTACAACAACATTCGGCTACGCCTCAATCCCAAACAAATTGAGATCGACAATTAGGTTAACCAAGAGTGTGGAGCCACCTTTTCGTCGGAAATTACACTAGATAGCTAGGTCAAAATTTTAGTTAGTACAAATATGTTTTTTAATTTGGCCTCAATTTACATCTATGCCATTCAATTTGGGGTGTGCACGTTCAAGTAGACAAACATGTCCTACATGGCATAATACATGTAGGATGCCGCGTCGAACGTGAATTGCCACGTATGACGACAAGTAGGACGTATGTGTCTACTTGTTCAACTCTATACAAATTTAAGTGTCTACTTGTGCACATCTAAAGTTGGAGGGCTAGGTGTAGATGAAACAAAGTTAAAATACACGTTTATATATTATGCCTTTTTTAATATTTTAACACCCCTTCAATGAAATTTTTGACTCTGCTACGGACTGAGAGATATCTACGTAAACGTCTTAAAATGTGGGAGTGTGAGATAGGTTAGTTGCTACACCATATAAAGACAATATGATGGAGTAAAATTTTCTTATTCTGATAGTATATATAACTTGAACTCTATGTACGAATGTGAAAGAGCTTAAGATATGTTCGCAAATAATATAAAAAATCTTTACATGTACGTAAGGTTTATAGCGTGTTTCACCAAGCTTCTAGAAAGTCAAAATAAATATTTTTTTTACAGATTTCTTTTGAAATTTTAGGTGTACGACCAAAAATAAAAGATATTTTTAAGCAGTAGTATAAACAGTTTTTCTGTGATCGGAGAAAAGTATAGATTAATTCTTTAAAAAAGACAAAAATATTCTTTACCAATATTTGTATTTATCAATCTATATTTCATTAATTTATGGTTGAATAGCCTAATAGACTCTATTATTTGCAAGTTGCATCCTAATTCACGGATTTTCATCTAGGTAGTTTAATTTGATTATAACAAGTCTTTTAATTTATATCAAAAGAATATTGCCAACTATAAATGTTGTGAATTATATTT